CGTAAATTTTTGTAGGGCTAGCCCGTAGAGATACAAAGAAATTGTCCCGAGGGTGAAATTTAACCGGGACTACTAGTGCGTGCAAGTATTTTAACTCGATTGGAAGGTCAGAGTGCTTAATTCAAGTCCTAATTTCCTCTTGAACCAACCAGAAACATGATTATTGAAGCCATAGTTGCTATTAGTGCAGTGACTGGTGAAATAAAATTGCAATCCAAATTTGTTATTTTGAAGCTTTCCTTCAAGTAAAATTTAAAAAGTGAAAGTTTGATACAAGAAAATATCTTACTTTTATTAGGTACCATCTAAACCGGAAATAATTTTGCGTTTTTTTTTCTTCTGAATTATGGCTTTACATTTGATACCTAAGCAACATCTTTGGTAATCAAACTTTATAAGTGTTTTAATAACGTCCTAAAAATTTTTCGTAAAGATTCTTTTACTGGACAATAGCACAACTGGCTAATTTCTGTCTTGTACATTGCCTTGCTTTTATTTTTCTGCTGTCAATTAGTGTGTAGATGGAGGGTCTTTGCACTAAGCTTGGATTTCCTAAGATTAGCGAGATTAAGACACAATTAAAATTTTCGTGATAAAATCATCTCGTCTCGCGAAAACATAGCTAAGTAAACACATTCGTTCTATTTACATTTTGAAAGGTTTCTCACATTGATTAAATTACTAAAAGCGGAAAAAAGTTTATTCCATTCAAAGACGTGAATAAGAAGTGTTTTATTATGGTATTTATTAAAATTTCATTAACTTAGACAGAGTGAATTTACACAATTTTTGAAATTTGTGTATCAGTAAGTTGCAAATCTATGTTTTCTGACAAAAATTAAATTAAATCTTTAATCTTTAGGTAACATCCAAATGTCATACTGTAGCAGAGTAAAAAAATACAATCAGTGTTCACTTAGCAGAAACTCTCAGGAAACAAGTAATATTAAAATTTGTACAACCTAATAATAATGTAAAACAGACCTGTCTGAACTTTTAGTAGATGCTGAGGGTGACTTGATTACAGCGGTGATTGAACATAAAAAAAATTGAATAAACCTGTCTTAAAATGTAAGTCTTAAGGTACCTTAAGTCTTGTACTTTATGAATAAGCCTCATTTTTTACAACAGCTTACACAAGATATTGGCGAAAATTTAATGTTTAAGCCGACACATTATGGTTATCTCAGGAAAGGCTTACATAATTTCCCCGAAGCCCCGAGAATGCATAAGCTTATGAACACTGTTACATTATGTATATCAAAATTAAGATACTTATCCCCATCGAAAACTTGATGACTCATCTCAAAAATGTAAAATAAATCTTGATTGATGAACATACCCCTCCTAGATGCGAAATTAGTTGTACTTTCGTCAGAGACAAGCTGAATTTTTAAACTCAACTTGGCTGTGTTTTCACAGTTTTTTTTTGTTTACGCATATAATTACACTTAGCAGTTTACTATTACAGAATAATTAATTGTTTACCATAATTCTACTCTGAATATTCATTGAGTGTTGTTTTTTAGCTGGATAGCTGGGAAGAGAAATTTGTAAAAAATATATTAATAAAACACTAACAAAACCAACATTTGCCACCTGTTTCGCGTAAATATTTATGTGTGTGGTTTAATGTGAAAGTAACAGTTAATGTTAATTCTAAAACACGTTGACATCAGTTTGTAAGTAATTAATAATGATATGTGATGAACAAAATATTATGTTCTAAGGTTGACACTGAGTGAGCAAGATGTTTTTTCATTGTCTGTTTCTCACAATGGGGAATGAAAAAGGGAGCTATTTTAAATTTTAGTTTGTTTGCATAAATAAATAACAATAAATTACAATATTTTTTAGACATAGGGTAATATACAGAGTGAGTCAGCTAAATAACTTTTTTATTTATTAGTTAAAAGTAATGACATTAAATTTGCGAATGCAGAATAATAGCGGGCATATACAAGGTTATTCAGCTAAGATGACCCATTTGTGTTTTTAAACTAGGCAACCCATAATACCAATTCCACTTGAGCCTGGATTACAAAAAATGTTTGAAAATTGAATTGTATTATATCGTTCGATAAGAGTCCTGACTGTTTTATCTAGGTCTGTATGGCATTCTCCATAGGTTAAAATGATTTCTGTTTTAATAATTAAAGAAACGCGAACCTTTTTCAATAACTTGTCAGATTTTGGCAAAAATGTCAGGGATGTACAAAATTGAACTCGACGACGCAGGCAATTGTTTTTCACCAACATCACTATTAAATTAAAAAAAAAAAAACAAATTAATAATTAATTTTTGCGTTTTTATTAACGTAATTCTTTTAAACAAAAACAGTGATTTAATTAATGTTTCGCGCACAGGCGTTATTTTAGTTGCTTAAAGTTATAACTCAATTTTGAACAATTGGATAACAGGAAGCTGTGTTAAAATTCGTTTTTTTGTAAGATTAAATAGTTTTTTTGTTATCAGCTTAATCTTTACCTATTATATTAGACCTGTTTTAAATTGCATAAAAATCCCTTCAAAAATACCTAAGTTATTGCTCCCGAAAGTGTTACGTGGGACACCCGGTATATATATTTTACAACAAACTTTTTTTTTCTTTAAGTTATAGTCCTATGGTGATTTCTTTTCGGTTCTGTTATAATTTATATTTCTGTATACATTATATTTAATTACTTCATGAATCCGGTCTAACACTGCGTCTTCTAAATTTAGTTTACGCGAGAATACATTTACGTTTCTGTATTCAATGAATCTTTCTTATTCGTGAACATGAGTTTTACTGACCCAAGATTTAATACGTTCTTGAATTATTCTACTCAACGCTGTCTTCGGCCAAAAGAGTTAATTTTAATAGTTATCGATATGCACTGTTTCAGAAATTATGTTGATATTTTTCAATTAACTTTAAACTTATGTTTCTTATGGACACATTCTATTTTGCTGGAGGCTTCGGTGAGTAATACAACAAAGAGTAAACTTAACGGTCATACTTACCTCAATTTTCGTAATCAACTACATATCATTATATTTATTCACTATTTCTTCAAATTTTCATTATCGAAAATACGTTATACTACTTATTTTATTGAAAATATTTTAAAACATTTAGTAGAATATTTATTAAGAGTATCAAATGATATAACGATTTTACAAATGAAAATAAGCATATAAAACTTAAAAAAAGAAAGCTTATTTACAATAATATTTTACAGAGTTGACATTCTGTCAAAAACAAAACACAAGGATTCCTCAATTTTGTTCAAAATAAAAAAAAACACAACATAAGCATCTAAAAATCTTCAGATGGTCCTAATCCCACCTGACAGTTGCCCGCAAAATACCTGAAACGTAAGGGGCAGTTACACGCAGCGGTTAGTAATATTTACATATAATCTGAAGGATTAATACCATAAACTTAATGTACCTTAATGAAATTAACCTAAAATACCATTGTTGCCTTTTGTAGTCAGAGTTGTCAATTGGCGGATGGTTGTCCGAATTCAGGATATTTTTCTTAGTAGCGTAAAACGCTAAACGTCGAATAATTTCGGACATTTTTTTAATAAAAGACCTAATACAAAGATTTTATATCAATTTTAGCTCGATTAAAATTCACCATGAATTAACTGCTAATTGGCATATAGAGAGATATTTTTATTGCTCTTTCATTTTCTACCAATAGGTTCTTCTTATAAAATAAAAGTAAGGAGGTTTCTTATCAGCTAGGTACTTGCGCGCAAGTATGCTATGAATTTTTAGGTTTAGACTAACCACATGGGGTTAATTAACCGTGGTGCGCAAGTGACCAACACCGAATGAACGCACTAAAAATAAAACTAATAATAAACTTTTATAGCTGAGAGCGGCTTTTTTATTTTTCAGTCGCTTCGTATACATTGATAAACCGCAATTGTAAATTCATAATAAGTATTTTGCATATTTTAGACAAGATTTATTCGGCAGAATGCCGTCGTTATTATCCTTTTTTTTTTTTTGAGGGGATAAATGGAAACATTTTAACTAACGATGTTGCCTATAATCTTAAAACGCTTGCAAGGTTTCAGAATGTAATTTTGCAATTTGAAAGTTAAATTATAAAATGTTGTTTTTGATATTTTTCCCAAAAATCTGGATGCCTAAGTTGTTATTTTATAAAATTTAAATAACAGTGGTTAGTGTTTTAGTATCAACACAATATTTTTAATACACCTATAAAATTGAATAACAATCAGTCCAGCGAATTAGGAGACTACCTACCTAATTGTTTTCGTTGTTGTACACATATTTCAGTAGGATTTCTAGTTTTCACCTCAGATGTGCAGATCACTAATAAATAGACAACAGACGGCAGACGGAAACGGGCGACCTATTTTTCACACTCCAGGGGTTATGAAATGTCGAGAAAAATGTAAGTGTCTAGTCTATTTTTGTATCGAAGCTGGGGGCCAATACTTTCAGCAATTGTGAATTCAAATGAATATGTTACTTATTATGAATAAATCATTTTAAATCCAACCCGGGTTTAATTCTTGTTGACATTCAAGTTATATTGTAAAATTGCGAATTCATCACAATAAGTACATTTTTAAGAGCGAAGTGAATTACGTTCCAAATTCATAAAGATTTTATAATTTTTTTTAAATTAAAAACTGTCGAGTTACGACCTCCTTTTCGGTTGACTTTTTTCTCTCAACAAATTCTTGAGCAACTAGATCACAAGTCAAAAAATCACCGGGTACACGATGGGAGAAAACGAGAAATTATATTGGTAAATTGAGGTTGCCCGGCGCCTCCACCATTATTAAATAATCGGAAATTCTGCAATTACAACACACAATTCATCATTAGCTTGAATAAATCGTCTCACAGTACATCGTAATTTTGCATTTGACAATAAATAATACAACAATGTCTGCTGCTGAAAATATTTTATTAAAAAAGAAAAAAAAACAAGAAAATACATTTATGAGAACAAGAAGTAACATGAACAATATATGAGACTTATCATAAGAAAATGAGCGGACAGTATATATTAAGTAACACATAAAACATCTTTATCAACTGTTTAAAACATTTACGATTAAAAATATGATCACAAGTACCTAATGGTTATCGAGTATGGAATTATATTCAATGTTTACGAACATGAAAGTTTCAGTTCATGAGAATGAAAAATGAACCGCGTCAAACAATTTTTAAACTGGACAATATTATCGAGAGATCTTTCTTTCAAATTCATTTCTTTTAGACAATCATAGTTTCAAAATATTTTTTTCATCATTCTTATTCTAGTATCACGTGGAAAAAATGGACTATCATGTATCACAAGCTTCTAGCTTTAAATATCGCTCTATTGTTTTGATAGACCAGAAAACTAAAATCATTTTTTGTAAAATCGATGGTAAATTTCATAGTTATTTCAACTTCAATTATACATAAGTAACAAAACTTTATCTCTAACTTTTCGTGAGTAGCTGTACACTATCTGGAATTATTTTGCTATTTAGTGAGTTGACCACATAATAGAATAGTAAGTCAACAAATTGTTTACTGTGTATTATTTTCAAAACAGTACTTCACAAAGTCTTTGTCATGTTTTTCGCAAATAATTTTCATTTTGAGGACAACTGGTTGCCGGTAGCAAGGACAACCGCCTGCTTTATTCAGCAACAATGAAATTAATGTTTATCATTACCCATCTTAATGTGAACTTGAAGAGACATTAATTAATGTTTCAATAAATTCAGACTGACTCGTTTTATTAATACGGATAGTCATGGTAACCAACCAGGCTTATTTTCCACTTGTTAATTTCGAATATTTTTTTTAATTTTACGTCTTTCATATTTTTTTATACGAGAGCGCAAAAATAGGTTTAAAGTGGCCTTTGATGCGTTCGTTTCGCTCGGATAAAAATTTCACATTTGCAGCTAAAAGAATCACTCTGATCCTTATACTGTGCCAGCGTCGTTAACTTAAGTTTTGCAAAAGGCCATCTTGTTAAATAATTTTAACGCAAAGGGACATCAAAGACCCCACTTGAGAGCTTTTTTGTTTGGACGATCTTATAATTTTTGGTTGTTTTAGCATTCAATCCCATCTAACGGAACAAAAAACTGATTCATATTATGTTCTTCGCACCACTTAGTCGAAGCAGACTTTTAACCCTTCTTTTTATTATTCGCTAGACGCTTTTAAACTTAATGAGTGGAACAGCCACAAAACCTAAAACACAACTTTACAATGAAGTAACATTGAAAGATCGATCAAAACGGTGTTACGACGTAAAAACTGAGGTGAAAAATGAATTTAAGTGGAATGACTATGGTTAATTTTGTCGACAGATGACTGACAGATACAAATTTTACTTTTTACATTTAGTGACGAATCGAACACATATTTTTTACAATAATTATTTATTATTTCTTAAAATATAAGTAATTTTATAAAAAATAGCACAAAAGTGAAGGTACATTGCTTTGTCCAACATGGAATAGCATGCCCACTTTCGTGCAGCGCGTGACTTCCGGTCTTCAACACATAAATTCATCACGCTTTGCCTAACTTTCCACATTTCTAACTAAATAACTACCTATTTATTACAAGAGCGTGCTGACTAACTCCGCTCTTCCGATACTAACATGGTTTGTATGGCCATCATTATTTATTGAAGCCGTCGTTAAACGTGTGCGTAATGAACTGTTATAAGCATTTGGTGATTGCCTCGAAGCAAGGGTGTAATTGCGGCTGTCAGGTCTTGATGGACAAAAAAAATTCAGCAAGCTTGACTGCATGTGCTTACTTCCTTCCTGTAATAGAAAAGAGCCATCATTGTATTAAACGTAATCAACAAACTGCATTTGTGATTATCTGTTTTATTTGATCATTGAACTGTAAATTTGCAACGCTGACAGGGTTCGAGTTTCCACATTAGTTGGAAGATAGTTAATCGAAGTTGGAAACTAACTGCTAGAGCTAAATGAAAAATGTAACAACTGATTTAAAATCTCGCCAAAGGGAGGATAGTGATTAGCTCGTTAAACCCGAATGGAGATTCTGATCAACAGTCAACCAACTCGTAAGTCTGCGATAAGGTATTGAAAGCCACATTAATGCTGACAAACGACGGATAAAAGTTTTCAGACTTTATCGGTCTTCGTTTTACTGGGTTTGTCGATGTGTTGTAAGTGTCGACATGCAAAATCGATCGTTACGCTGGTTTTAGGGGTAATTTAAGAGAATATTGCACAATAGCATTGTGTCATTACATGGTAGATTCAGTTCGTGTGTGATCTGCAAATGAGTTTGATTTATAAAAATTTTTGTATTGATGAGGCTGATACGTGTTTAAACTCCATATTAATCTTAATAATAATGAAAAAAAAATGAAAAAAGTTTCTCTTCTGCCTGAAGACGGTACTGTGTACTGAAACACGTGCAGCAGTGACTACAAATATATTATTTAAACTCTGAAAGTTTTTTCATTGTTATTAAGATTATAAAAATTTTATAATGATTTTTTTGACGAAATAAAACACATTGTATAGAGAACAAAAGTGTGCGGCAATTGTTTGTTGACACATAGAGCCATAGATATATTTTTGCAAAACCAATTTTCAAGCAGATTTTAGTTACTTGTATAATAAAAGCAACGATATGTATAATGTGACATAGTCACCAATATTTTTACTTTTTAACAGTTACACTAGTAAGTACATATAAAAATCTAATTTTTTTGGTAGTATCCATCCCATTATTATCACAAAATAATTTTAAGAAAACTATATTTAATGAAGAAAGTGCAGTATTTGAAATATTTATAGGTTATTTTGTTTGTATATAAATATACTAGAAAAAATATATATTTTAAAACCTAATTTGGGGCAAAAATTTTGTCAGAAATGACATAATCAAAAAAATAAGGTAGTATATAAACCTACGTGCATTTATGTATGTTCCAATAACTTCGAAGTATTACCCACTTATGAAACAACCAAACTGACACTTAATACTTATTAAAATAACAGAAAGGCAGTACAATAACAACAATATGAGCAAAATATCTCCAAGAAAAATTGCAGTTCTGACAATAAAGAATTGCATCCACTCGTAACTAGATCAAATAACATTTCTGTTATAATGGAAAAAGAGAATTTAATATATTTCAAGAAGTCTGTGTTGATAATGGCAACATATGCCTTGATAGTAATCTAAATTTAAACGAAATAAAGGTACAGTTTGTATTAGTATTACTGTAATAAATCAAATAAGTTATTATTGTTAAAAACAAAAAATGTTTCGATGAAATTCCAGAAACAATATTTTATCAAAAAAACACCAAATTTAGATACATATTTTAGTATAATTAATCAATGACTGTTTTTAAAATTACCGCCCTTTATGAATATAAATATATGTATACAGGTTTCACAGGATTCGCCAAATGAGCGTGAGATATAAAAAATTGGTTTGAGATTTTTTAAACAGAACTTCCCTCACTCATGAAGTACAGTGTACAGCAAATCTCACTTCGTCAAAAAATTATAAAATTTGATTTTGGAAATTTATTTTACTCTTTTATGATAATCCCTATAAGTTAAAAACTATGTACAATTCCAGTCACAGTGTACGAAAAAAGGCCATCGCATTATACACAATACACTACCGGGTGTTTGTATTACTATAAAAGGTTGTTATTCAATTTGGTTCAAGGCGGATTCATAAACCAAAATTATATGAGTATTATGGCATTTATTATGAAAAATTTGAGGTGACACCATCAATAAACAGACAAACAGAGAACACACGGATAGCCGGAAACGGAGGATCTATTTTTTCGTACTTTAGAGGCCATGAAACGTCGAGAAAACAAGTTATTCTCCAAGAACCCTACTTTTACGTCGCTTTGAACTGCAGAAACTAATGTTGTTTTCAGATGCACATTGTTTCTCGTTTTTGAGATGTAATATACAGTTTAATTTTTTTAAGTAAAACTGCAAATATATTTTTATATGTTCCACTTGATTTCTTCTCGAACTGTTTAAGTATCTTTTGTCTTTGACATTCAGTTGCGACGTTGCCAAGTTATTTTCATTTTCATTAAATTTTTGGCAACGCAAAAGTTAAAAAAAAATTGCAATATTTTTTTAAAATTGAGTCTTATTGTAATACAGTGTTTGTAAAAATGTTAAATATGTATTATGATTTTTAGTTATTCATATGAGAAGTTTTTTCAAATAAAATAGTCTGCAAACTATTACTAAATTTTACTCTGGTTTTTGCGTTTTTGTGTCTTCAATAATTCATATTACCTTGAGTACACACATACATATTAAATACTCTTATGGAAATTGATTTGACGCTAAAATCCGTTTAGGTCCGGAATTTTTTTTAGTACCTGAGCGTAAGTTAAGGAAGTATTGTATTTAAGTCCACTGAACGACTGGCTACTTCCATGTTTTCTCGTCATTTCATGACCCTAGAGTGTAGTATATAAAAATAGGTTCCCCGTTTCCATCTGTTTCTCTATCTGTCTGCCATGTGTCGGGATTTTTATTAGACAGATAATCTCCGAAACTACTGAACCGATTGTTGTTTAATTTTATATGTGTGTTAGGAATATCTCCTAGAATGTAAAATGGTAACACAAATTGCGTAATCATCCTTACCAACAATAAAAATAAAAAAATGATCACCATAAACAGTCGAAGTTAAGCATGTACTCAGAAATTGAGAAAATTTGCATTTTTCCCGTTGTTTATCTGCTTTAAATACATTTCATATTGTCCAAAGTTCTGCTGACAGCGCGCCCCTGGAATTTGTGTCGCCGCGGCGCAAGGGCTGTGGGGGTGTTAATTACGCCACTGGTTTTTACTTTTTAGAGATTATCACAAAATGAAAATCGCAAAATCAAATTTAATAATATTTTAAAGATTTGTCGGACTATCCTTCAAGGGTGAGGGAAGTTCTGTTGAAATAACTTTATACTAAATTTTTTACCTTTATTTTAAGATCACATACATAACTTTGTTTTAAATTATTGGCGTTATTATAAAAAAAATCGCAAAAGGAAATCTTGCAATTTTTCGAAATAGATTTGTTTGACTGTACTGTCTAAATAACTTTAGACCAATTTTTTTTCAAAATATGTCGGTGTACGTTATACCTCAATAAATAGATTATTTGAACTATATAATACCAACAATACAGTACATTGACTAAAAAAATATTAAAAAATTTTGGTTTCTTCGAGACAATACATTAAACTTCTAATTTAGCAACTTGCATTTTCGAGAGATAATAAATTTAATTTTTAGTGAATTGAGTCGAAGTTGCAAATAAATAAAATAAAATTTTGAGGAAATAAATCGATTAACTAAGATAACGAAGGAAAAGTTTAAAATAAACGAAATTGTAGTAACTAAAATTGTTAATATTTTGGGGTCTTTGTTAAAAAAATTGGTCTAAAGAGTTTAGACAGTACTTCCCTCGCTGTCGGAAACTTGACGACTGCATGCCTATTGTGTTTTTTTTTTCTCATTACATTTTTGTAGTGGGAATTTAAAAAAAAATTGTGATGACGTCATCAACATTTTTGCAAGGACACGTACATCAGTTGGGATAGATGTAGTGTAATACTAAGAATAAAATTATTGTATTCCCAAATTTTCGGGAAAATGAATCGCGTCGTTTTGAATATTGATTTCTTATAATCAATAAAATAACGAAACAATTTACTCACGTATGCGGCGCCGGTGTGTAATATCTAGAGAGCGGATTTCTGTCGGGCTAGGCAAGGCCAAACTCGGTACGGCTCGTACGGGATGCGAATTCATTGCGGTTGCGGACTGCACTTCGTTTATTTGAGATTAGAATAACGCTGTTTCGTTGCACGCTGCTGTTAATTCTCGTTCTCATTTACTTAGCCGTTTGATTAATAAATCGTTAATTATATTTATGGAATTAGTACCGATTAAATTCAGTGATTATCTATCACCCGGCGATCCAGCACATCCCCCCCTATAATCGTGACGTAGCCCGACAGAAATCCGCTGTCTAGTAATATGAGGGGCAACTGAAAATCGTTTATGTATAAACATTCTTAATTTAAGATGACAAGCGTAACAGCATACGTGAGAGCCAAACAGAGAAACTGTAAACAAAACGACCATCGGTTTTATTGCTTCGACTTCCGCTTATTATATAAAACATTCGGTTTTATTTTAATTCTTGACGGTGAAATTCACAATTGGTTGATTATAAACATGTCTATTCTACATTCGCGGAACCAAGTGAGCGCATAAAACAAATGCAGGTCTGTAATGTTAAAGTCGATGTAAATAAGCGTGCTACCCTTATGTTTCAACCGAGTTTTTCCTTTAACAAATTTTGTGTCTACCAAATTGGGTTGGTTGGGGTGTAATACTAATAATAAGTGTTGCCTTTAATTTAATCAATAAAATAAATTGACTTCATTAATTTTTTGGAACCACCTCTTAAGAAAATCTAAAAAATATGAATGGAATGATAAATCACAAGTACAAACTCATCATATTTTTTGCATTTTAGATAGGATTTATTCAGCAAAATTTAAGGGTGACGTCATCAATTTTTTTAGGAGGGATGAACAAATACATTTTGAACAAAAGTTTACCATGATTATAATAACTTTAAAATATTCCCAAGATTTCAAAGCATTCGGTTTTGTAATTCCTGATTAAATCGATAAAATAAATTCACGCATTCATTAATTTTTTTGAGTCACCCTGCATATGCAAATCCAAAAATATGAATGGAATGATAAATCACAAGTACAGACTGATCATATTTTGTACATTTTAGATATGATTTATTCGGCAAATTTTCGAGCTGACGTCATCAAGTTTTTGGAGGGGATAAGCAAATATATTTTGACTAAACATTTATTATGCTCTTTATAACCTTAAAACATCTGCAAGATGTCAGAGCATTCCGTTATGTAGTTCCTGATTAAATCAATAAAATATATTTACGCATTCATTAATTTTTTTGAGTCACTCTGTATATGCAAATCCAAAAAATATGAATGGAGTGATAAATGACAAGTACAGACTCATCATATTTTGTACATTTTAGATATGCTTTATTCGGCAAACTTTCGAGCTGAAGTCATCAAGTTTTTGGAGGGGATAAGCAAATATTTTTTGACTAAAGATTTATGATGCTCTTTATAGCCTTAAAACATCTGCAACATTTCAAAGCATTCTGGTTAGCAGATTAAAAATTAAATTTCAAAATGTTGTTTTATAATTTTGATTTTTTTTCCAAAAATCTGGACGTTTCGGGTGAAAAGTCGATTCGGAGTTGTAAACTACATGTGTAGGACTATGTTATTTTATACAATTGAAAACCCATTTACTATGTACAATTTTGAAGTGACGTCATCGCATTAGTGGTGGGGATGATTAGACAAATTTTGGTTAGCGTTTTACCATCTACATGATATTCTTAATATAAGTACAAAATTTCACAACAATCGGTCGAGTACTTTCGGAGATTATCTGTCTAATAAAAATCCGGGACGGCAGACGGACAGACGGACAGACGGACAGACAGACGGAAATGGAAGACCTATTTCTTCGTCTTCTAGGGGTCATGGAAGATCGAGAAAACGTAAAAGTAGAGAGTCGGCCGACGGACTCGATTACAATACTTCCGTTGCTTACGCTCGGGAAGTAAAAAACATTATAATCAACCCTTCTTTTTTTGAGGCACTGTATACAACTTGTTTTTTTCTTAATAGAATCTATATTTTACTACTGTTAGACTAGTTCCCGCGCGTAAACTACGGAAGTAGTGTAATTGAGTCAAATTGATGTTTTCTCGTTGTCGTTGTCTGTCGTCTGTCGGTGTTGATATTTTTAGGCAGATAATCGAAAATTTGCCGAATAAATCATATCTAAAATGTACAAAATATGATCAGTCTGTACTTGTGATTTATCATTCCATTCATATTTTTGCGTGAATTTATTTTATCGATTTAATCAGGAATTACAAAACCGAATGCTTTGAAATCTTGGGAATATTTTAAAGTTATTATAAACATGGTAAACTTTTGTTCAAAATGTATTTGTTCATCCCTCCTAAAGAAATTGATGACGTCACCCTTAAATTTTGCTGAATAAATCCTATCTAAAATGCAAAAAATATGATGAGTTTGTACTTGTGATTTATCATTCCATTCATATTTTTTAGATTTTCTTAAGAGGTGGTTCAAAAAAATTAATGAAGTCAATTTATTTTATTGATTAAATTAAAGGCAACACTTATTATTAGTATTACACCCCAACCAACCCAATTTGGTAGACACAAAATTTGTTAAAGGAAAAACTCGGTTGAAACATAAGGGTAGCACGCTTATTTACATCGACTTTAACATTACAGACCTGCATTTGTTTTATGCGCTCACTTGGTTCCGCGAATGTGGAATAGACATGTTTATAATCAACCAATTGTGAATTTCACCGTCAAGAATTAAAATAAAACCCAATGTTTTATATAATAAGCGGAAGTCGAAGCAATAAAACCGATGGTCGTTTTGTTTACAGTTTCTCTGTTTGGCTCTCACGTATGCTGTTACGCTTGTCATCTTAAATTAAGAATGTTTATACATAAACGATTTTCAGTTGCCCCTCATATTACTAGACAGCGGATTTCTGTCGGGCTATGTCACGATTATAGGGGGGGACGTGCTGGATCGCCGGGTGATAGATAATCACTGAATTTAATCGGTACTAATTCCATAAATATAATTAACGATTTATTAATCAAACGGCTAAGTAAATGAGAACGGGAATTAACAGCAGAGTGCAACGAAACAGCGTTATTCTAATCTCAAATAAACGAAGTGCAGTCCGCAACCGCAATGAATTCGCATCCCGTACGAGCCGTACCGAGTTTGGCCTTGCCTAGCCCGACAGAAATCCGCTCTCTAGATATTACACACCGGCGCCGTATACGTGAGTAAATTGTTTCGTTATTTTATTGATTATAAGAAATCAATATTCAAAACGACCCAATTCATTTTCCTGAAAATTTGGGAATACAATAATTTTATTCTTAGTATTACACTACATCTATCCCAACTGATGTACGTGTCCTTGCAAAAATGTTGATGACGTCATCACAATTTTTTTTTTAAATTACCACTACAAAAATATAATGAGAAAAAAAACACAATAGGCATGCAGTCGTCAAGTTTCCGACAGCGAGGGAAGTACTGTCTAAACTCTTTAGACCAATTTTTTTAATTTTGCTACTCAAAGAGCCATATATCTTTAGATTTGATTTTTATTTTTCTTTAGTAATAAAATGATTAATGAGATATTGGAAGCGTGTGTTTAATGACTCACCCGGTATATAACAATAGCCATCTATTACCGTTTATAAACAAACATAATGGCTTTCTTTTAATTTAAAACACTAAACGCGTGTACTTTATTTTATCGCCCACATGTTACAACTAGTTTTTTATAAAAATTCTCATTGTTTTTTTTAATCAAATGTAGTTAAAATTTAAAATCGTCGCTTTCGAGCAAGATCTTTAAATTTTATTTATGGTCAGTGAATTTTATTCGTTGCCTAAAATTACGTGCTGAGTAAATAATAATAATTATAATATAAAAAAATTGTAAGGGTTTGTTTTTGTTTACAATTTATAAAAACAGTTTTCTAATATGTTGCTTCGTTTGTGGAATGCTACATAATTTTTTTCCATAGAAAATACGTGTTCGAAAAAATTAATTAGAGCAGGTAAACAAGCAGGATTTAAATAATATCATTTTTTAACATGTCATCCTTTTGACGACGAAAACAATTCGCTCTACATCTCATTAATGAGGATGGCAGTGGAAAGGTTGTTTACATAGTCCACTTATTTTTTTTTTTCGATTTCAGGGTACATGCTTTTGTCATTCCTTGTTAATCTCATTTTAGTATTATAAATGAAATCTATTTTAGTCGGGAACCAAAATCTACCAACCATGACTTAAGGGTTGTTGACTACGCACTACTGCTAGAGCGAGAAATTTCTTATAAAGATCTGCGAGATTGCGGTTGAAATACTCGTGCCAGCACGTAGAACGAAATGAAAACAAAAATTGCATTTAGCTCTAAACTTTCCCAAAGCTATTAATTCTTCAGTCTTTTGAATCATATTAAATTTATATGTAACAATAACGCGACCAATAATTTCCTGACCTGAATTTCTTTCATTCGAATGCTGTAGATGATGGGATTCGCCAGCATCTTGAGGACGATCAACATATTTTCCAGCAACCTCATCGACATAACTTCAATCAAATAATTCTGGTTTAAGCTTTCCAGTTCAGAGCCGTGGATATAACAGTCCTCTTTACACATTAAAACAAATATAAGGAGGGCCGGCAACCATCCTATCACACATGAGCCCAAAATCAGTAAAGTCGTATATATCGCCCTAATGTTTCCTTCAAGTTGTTTCTGCTCCTTATTTGTCTTACTGCTCGGGCAGTGTTTAATGTTTCTCCCTAACCACTTCGTGCTGCCGATTCGCGATAAGTTCTTCCAAATGTTTTGCTGTCTTCTTACTATGATTAATATGTGGGTGTAGCATATGGCCATCATACATATGGAGATGATAAAGTAAGCGGAATAACTCATTCTGAATCTAAAAGTGTCTATGAACGTCGTCACATTTTCGGCCTCCAGTTCTGTTGCATTATTGAAAACGTCGGACCAGTAATTCTCGTCAGCTTGAGCAGTGAATAAAAATATGACAAATGCTGTTGGAAATAACCACAGTAATATAGTAACTGCAGTTACTTTCCGTCGAGTCACAATGGAATTGTAATGTAGAGGTTTCAATATTCCAATGTAGTGATTTAAACTGAGGGCCAGTAGATGGGTTACCGTTACGAGAATTCCGCTGAGTTTCATCATTTCCATAACGATCTCTAACCATCATAGATTGATGCCTCTGTAAGGTAGATAGGTGTTGATGTAGAGAGTCAGTGCAAATATGGACGAACTCAGTGCATCTGCAGCTGCCAAACTTATACTCATTCTTAAGACAGGTGGCATAGGTTTTCTAATCCAGTAGACGCTTATAAATACCACAACATTTACAATCATAGCAATAACGGCTGTTACTACCAATATTGCAATGAAAATGTAGGCGATTACGTGCAGATCTTCGATTTCATTATAGGTGAAATAATCGTCCTGATGAGATGCATTTATGTAAAAAGTGGAATTTTCCATTTCTTATTAATCTGAAACAAGAAAACGACCGTTTAGTGGAGTTTATTTCATTAATGAAACGAGATTTCGTACTTTAGAAAAGTTTAATCCAATTAGAAATTTAACAAAGATATGAAAAAGCGTTGAATTGGCCGAAGTTTAATCAGCTGTCAATACAACACTTCGATGTTTCTTACTTAATGTTCTTGTTGGCTATTTTTCACTTTTTTTACCGATAAGCCATTATTTTTTTATACTGAACGGTCCATGGTAAAACAGTGTGTTTAATCCTGTGAGTGAAATACTGCATGACATCAGCAGATAAAAAAATATTCTAAATATTCCCACCTTTATTCACTGGTCATCCTCATTTGACCTATAAATAGTAAAGGACGACCGAAGGTCTATAACAATCATTATTATCAACGCCTACACAGAATGTCAGTAATGCGACTATTGATGATCTCGTAAAATATTCCACGAATCACTAAAATTAATTAACAATTATAGCAGAAATCACTACTTTATGAAATGAATAATGAAGTGTAGGAACGTAGGTTGTTATTACTTGAGGGTAAGCTAAAGAAATATTATAACAGGGTCATTCTATTCAATGAATAATTTCATGCTCTAACTACTCTTATATCGGCCGATTAACATAATTTATAATCGAATCATCCTTATTGGCATTGGATCCATATGTCTTCTCCGATTATGTGTAACGCTGCATCTAAAGTTAACTCACAAAAAAGTTTTTAACAAAATTGATTTCAATTAGTGACAATTTTGAGAACCTACTATTTGAAACAGATACCCAAAAATGCAAAAACTAACATTAAACTTGGCTTCAATTTTACCTCAATTTATTCTTAATTCTAACCTTACTTTTTCTTGCTTGTTTTCGTTTCCTGGAGAAATAATCTTTATATCGCAGTAGGTCATGTAAACGTAAACGTGCCGCCTCTCAGATTTTAATATGACAAGAAAGGAGTTAAAACTCCAAAAACATGTCCTGAAATCCAGTATTATTGCTATTTTCACAATATAATGTATGCATATTTTGGCATTACTGTCACAAAATGAATAAAAAAATTATTGAGGTAAATTTTCTTGCTTAATTCCAAAACGGATAAATCAATTATTTTGAAATTTTAGAATCACAATATTGTAGTTGTATTACATGCATACATATATGAAAAGTTATATTTTTTCTTGATGATATTATCCCCAAATTTAATTAATAAAATTTTACTTTAAACATGCAACTTAAGATGATACTTTCTGTGGTTTAATAATCGGTCTTTATTTTATGTTACTGTCCTAGACGTGTCAAATTATCAGTATCAAAATTTACGTTTTATTAAAGACTATACTGTTACGATTTACGGGAATGAAATCGGATTGAAACAAAATTCAACGATTTTTTATTGGTAGTACAACACTACTAACTATACAGCGATAATGTACAGCGAATAATTCTCTTGTCTTCGTAATGTGCTTCTACTCATGACTCAATTTAACTTCACTCAACTCCAAACAACCACGATTTTTTGCTAGAAACTTCGGAAGCCTCGAGGTTTTTAGTTTCGAAGATTTCGGAAACGCCGGCTCCTTTATGAGGTTGAGTCATCGCGGTAATGCACTGTCTTGCATGGGCGGCGTATCGACGCCGCCCATGTGTTTAATTCGTAAGAATAGCTGTGTAAATTTCCTCTTTAAAATTTTTAGTGAAGCGTTAACACTTGACTTAATGCTTATAGAATATTAACAAAATATTGTCTATTTATATTGTTCAAAAAATTTATATTGTCCTAAAATTTTGTTAAATAAGTTTCACTGCATGCTCGACTTTTAATTTTTGCAAATTTAGCAAAGTTGTTAATTTTCGCTTGTATTTCTGACATTAGTTTGATTGGTGTTTTCTCATTAGTTAAATATTCTGTTCGGTGTTTTTTTAATTAGATTTTTCATCAGTAAAGTAAAAAAAAACGTCAGCTATTTACCACCAACTTTTTACTTTTTAAACTTTTCACAAACATTTTAAAGCACTTAAGTGGCATATGATATATTCCTGAAAAAACAAAAAATTATACGCTTAAAAACATTTAAAAAATACACTCTATTCCATTAGCAAAAATGTACTTTGGAGTTGTTTGTATCAATTGACGCTTCCAAGCTTGATTTTTATAATTTGCATATTTTTGAAGCACTTTATCAAGCAGTGAAAAAATAAAAAGACATTCGATTTAATTCACATTCTGTTTATAACGAGAACTAAAATTGTAGCGATTTTTATATTTTTTTTTGTATTAATTTAGTGTTTAGTGAATTTCAGTCTTTTCAAATAATTGAGATCTTAGACTGAAACGTCATTTAAATTTTTTAAAGCGTTAAACCAAACGAGTTAAATGACACTGTTGAAAAAATAAAAACATATTTTGACACACTTAAATATATGTATTTGGAAAGAAGAAATTGATGCCATTTCCGAAAAAAAAAACAAAAGTGATATAATGCTACTAGGCATTTAAATAATACGAGTAGGCTTCTTTGTGTTAATTAACCGTCTGTCGTAAATTTCAGACTTCTACCATTTCAAATATGTAAAAATTATGATTCTAAATATTGAGGACTCTAAAAAAATTGCAGTTTACTGAATCAAATAAACTTTGACTGACATTAGAAATCATTTAATAAGAAATCATGATTTTATTTTAAGTTATCTTAATTTCTTCTTAACTGTATATTTTTTTAAATTCAAATATGTCTACACTAACTAATTAATTTCTTTTAACTGTATATAGAATAAAAATTGATTATAACTAACAACCCAATTTCAAATTGTTGCGTTAAAGCACACTTGCGATTGTTGCTGCGTTGTAAGCAATTTCATATTATTCTGTGGTAAAATTAATTTATGGAAATGCAGAATCAATTAGTAACTGTACCCTCAGCCGATAAATTCAGATTACGAATAATAAAAGTATACAAAAAGTTAGAATGCAGTTTATCACTGATATTAGTAGGACTCTAACTTATGCCTACGCAAACAAATAAATAACACAAGTAAATAAATAAAACAGCATGTGTATTATATCGTGTGTGTAAACTCAGTAAATGTTTAGTAAACATATAATCAAATTGTAATTTGTCCTTTTTTAGCGACTCGAATAGTTTTAGCAGTTGAAAAAGCCATGACAAGCTTAATTTTGCAGTCGACGGGTCGCTTAATGAACTTAGCTGTGTTCAACGTTCCGTGTATGGTCTGACTTTAATCTGATTGCGTGTGTGAATTAATATTACAAGGCATACTTTTTAAAATCCCAGTTAAGTAATGAACCAACAAGTCATTAATTAAAAATACTGATTATTTCAAGAATAGTGACGAAAAAGAGTAAAAAGTCATATTTTACACACTTCGAATATACAGGGTCATTATAAAATATTGTAGTCGAAGAAGGCCATGATTTTGGTGACATTTTGTGCCGCCTTTTTCAGTTTTGTGGAAAGGATTACACTAATATTGGAATTTTTATTTTTAGCGCCACATTAGTTGACATTAGCGGCTGCACTGTTTCAACGCTTCATCAAATTCTGTCAGAAGTCAATAATTTTTTCGTTTGTACTGGTACGTTTTCCCTCACTTTGTGCGTTAATTGACTTGTCTTGTTTTCATTTTTGCTGTCTTCCCCTTTGTTAGAACTTTAATAAGTGTCTCAAAAAACAGTTTTTATCAAAACTACAGATCATTGTGGAATAATCTTAGGTAATGAACAGAGAGGAATAACTATGGTCAGTGTTACAAATGATTTTTTTAGTCCTTTGGCGCAATCATCATGCCTATTACCGTAATGGGGTGTTAAATGAGGATGGGGATGGAGTGTACTCTGTGGAGGCGTCTAAAAACGAGTATCTAGTGAAATGTTCTGTTGTCATTGATGAAGAATCTTTGAAGACGCTATATGGCGAATTATGGCCAGATTTAACGACACTGGTAGCATTTCTAAGTGAAAACCGACGGGGAGACCTCAAGTTAGTGAAGACGTTGTTGAAGATTTAAGGATGAGAATGGAACAAAGTCCGAATAAAGCTTTGTCAAAAATCTTTACTGTCCGGAGTACCATACAGCCCATGTCAGAAAATCGTATAAGAGAAGTTACATATGCATCCATACAAGATTTTGTTGGTTCAGGAGCTGCAACCAGCTGATTTTCCTTGCCGCGTTGGGTAGTGTAGTTGGTTTCAAGCTGATATGGACGATAACGGGATTCTCGATTTGTCGTTCTTTTCTGATGAAGCCTGGTTTCATCTGTTAGGCTATTATGTCAACTGACAGAACTTCAGAATTTGGTGTATAGAAAATACTCACGCTTTTGAAGAAACACCATCACACGCAATGAAGGTTGGTGTGTGGTTAGCAGACGACGATTCATAGGCCTGATACTTTTTCAAGTCAATGAATGTGATCAATAAACAAAATTAGATGTAGAAAGTGTATGTAGGTACTGCAATAAAGTTTTTTATTTTCAGTAACTTTCATTTTTCTTTCGGTGTTAGTTGCATTCTCTTAATTTAAAACTTACTTCAACTTACTGTTTAGTAATAATTGTAATTTTACTATTAGGAAAGTTAAAAATCTTTATTAAACATTCTGTTGTTTCAAGAGATCTCATAATCAGCTACAGAACTCTTAACACTATGCTCCTGAAATTTTATTGGTTTTTTCATCTTTTTTCTTATAGAAATTTTGAAAAATCTTGATATTAGGATGGCCATGTGGGCGTGTTTTGGGTAGAACCTCTTTGACATTCCTGTTATGCAGATCTGGCATGTTTCAGATATCTAGAAACTGCAAAGCTGAAGGTAATGTTTGGACATAGCAATTTTCACCTATTGTAGGGATGAAGATCAAGGATTTCAGTTGTGTTTTTTCAAGAGAAAAGCACCGGTCACAAACCATGTCTGCACCAATATTTTGACGATTCCTTACAATTTACAAACAGAACTTTCGCGGGATCACAACTTTGGCAAA